AATGTTATCAGGAATGTAAATTAATGCAACCATGGTGCAAAACAATGTAGAGATTTTTTTATTTATCTTAAAATTGCAGCTTCCATATGATCCAGAAATCTCACTCCTGGACACACAACAAAAGACCTGAACTCATTGTCACAATGGAACCTGCTCCACTGCTTACAGCAGCACTGCTCACAATGGCCAAGATTTGAAATCAACTAAGATGTCCATCATCAGATGAATGGATAGAGAAAATATGGCATAAACACACAATAGAATATTATTCAACTACCAAAAGAGTCAAGTTCTCTCATGTGCACCCAAATGGTTGAAACTGGAGGACATCATGCTGAGTGAAATGAGCCAGACACTAAAACAAATACCGCACGCTGTCTCATGTGGGAGCTAAAAATTTAAACAGTAAACCTTCCCTCTGAACACAGAATGTTATGACTGGAGGCCAGAGAAGAAGAGGAGTTAAAGGAGTTGTTACCAAGATAAAGAGAGGGACTGAGAGTGGGAGGGGTTCAGTGTCAGGCATGACATCCCCTCAGTTCCTGACTCTGAGGACCCTGGGACAGGTAGGTGGGTGCCCTGGCTGTGGGAGCTGCACCCCACTGAACCCTGACCTCTGTCCCACAAACAGGACTCTAGGCCTCCACCTGAAAGGAGCTGGACTCTGCCCCAAGCTCCAAGGAGGCTGGAGGAGGACTCCAACCTCAAGAGGACAGCTCAGCTCTGTGAGAGCCTGCCCAGGAGCACGGCCACACCAGGCTTGGACTCTGACCAGGGGATGGGAACAGGGAGGAGTGTGGTTCTGAGCACCCAGGTGTGGTAACCTGTGATGCAGGAATGGAAAGCTAGCCATACCTGGGTCCCAGTGTGCACCTGACATCCCAGGAAGTGTCATCCTTGTTGGAGGGATTCGTGAACTCTGGTGAACACTCCTCCCATGAGACAAAACCTTCCCTAATGTTTGTTGCACTGGTTTTTATGCTTGTCACATGATGCAATTAAACACTAATACAATCTTATTTGGCTCTTTGGATTAATTGAGTGCCTTTTGTCAGCATGTATCTCTGTGTGCTGGGGTTACAGCTTTGACCAACAGCCCTAAGTCTGTGCTTATGGGCCTACATTCTAGAGGTTTCTCTAAAGCGAGATGGAGCCATTTCAGTGAGTTACCTAACAGTCTACTTGTTTATATGAAAGGCAGTGTCAGGGAAGGCACTGTGGCGCTGGGTAGGTTAACCACCCCAGATGAGAGCACCTGTGTGACTCCTGACTGCCCTGCTCGCTGCTAGCTCACCTGGGAAAGCAGGGCAAGATGGCCCATGTGCTTGGGTCCCTGCAACCACAAGGAGACCTAGATGGAGCTGTGGGCTCTGGCTCCAGCAGAGGACACAGCAACACTTGGAGAGTGATTCATCGAGTGAGAAATCCCTTAATTTCCGATGCCTTCCCAGGTACATCAAGAAGAAGGTGGATGGAAGCAGAACAGCCTGGACTCCAAGAAGCCCCGGGATATGTGGTGCTGGCCTTGCAAATGACATTTAACTCACAGCACCACAGCAAACGCTGCTGCTGGGCTGTTTTCATGAAGCAATGATCCCCCTGACTCACATCAGCGAGGCAGCTGACCACAGCAGAAATGACGGTCCCTGGGTGGCAAAAGAGCGACCATGCTAGGGCCCTAGTTCAGGACTGAGAGGGGGGTGGGAGAAAAGGCAATTATAAAGGAAGAGCTAAGAGGAGGTGAGGACAGGGGCAGAAGTCTGGGTGGTTTTTTTTTTTTTTAAGATTTATTTCTTTTTAATAGAAAGTCAGATATACAAAGAGGAGGAGAGACAGAGAAGAAGGGTTCACTCCCCAAGTGGTCACAAACGGCTGGAGCTGAGCCAATCCGAAGCCAGAAGTCCAGAGCTTCTTCTGGGTCTCCCATGGGATCTAGGGTCACAAGGCTTTGGGCCTTCCTAACTGCTTTCCCAGGCCACAGGAAGGGAATGAGATGGGAAGCAGAGTTGCCAGGATTAGAACAGGCTTCCATACGAGATCGAGGCACGTGGAAGACAGAACTTTAGCCTCTAGACCACCACACAGGGCCCAGAGCTCAGGATTCTAAAGCAGCAGGTGCTCAGGTATCAACATGCTGTGTCCTGAATATTAACATGAACCTTCACAGAGCCCAGCTGGGATCCCAGCATTCTGTATTTAATGCATCCTGTGGGGCTGCCTGAAATCTAACGTACTCCTGATGTGAATCAAGTTGAACAATAAAACACGCACAGGCCTAGATATAATCATAAAAATAGACAAATAAAAATGGACAATCCGGATCAGGTCTCTCAGGATCCCTCAGCCAGCTCCGGACCTATCCTCAGGGAGGAGACATCACTTAGGCCTGGGCAGCCGGGCACAGGGTCAGGGCACAGTCCTGGGCACAGGACTGGCCCTCAGGGTCTCAGTCCCAGGGCGGGTCTGGGCCAGGGAAGCAAGTGCAGGGGAGTCCCCACCTCCTCCAGGGTCACTTCCCCTCTCACAGCCTGAATGAGCTGCTTCTGCCCGGACACTCGTGACGCGGGCACACCTCACACTCCCATTGAGCGGGCGGTTTCCAGAGGAGCCAATCAGCGCCGTCCGGTCCCGGTTATAAAGTCGGCTGCGAGCGAGGCTTCAGGATCAGACTCCTCTCAGCCCTCCAGGATGGGGTCCATGGCGCCCCGGACCCTCCTCCTGCTGCTCGCGGGGGCCCTGGCCCTGACCGAGACCCGGGCGTGTGAGTGCGGGTCGGGAGGGAGACGGGCTCTGCGGGGCAGGAGCGAGGGGAGCGCGGAGGGGACACAGGACCCCGGGGGCCGCCTCTCCCAGACCTCACACCCCCTACACCTCGCCATCTCACCGACCCCGGCTTATTCAAGACCCTCCCTTCTCCTCGCCGCCTCATCTCGCGGTCCCCACACTTCCTTAGTCTCCGCCCCAACCCAGCTCCGCACTCCTCGGTCCCAAGTGTCCCGCTCCGGGCGGGGTCGGCCCTGGTCTCAGCCCCTCTCTCCCCCAGGCTCGCACTCCCTGACGTATTTCCACACCGCCGTGTCCCGGCCCGAACTCGGGGAGCCCCGCTTCATCACCGTGGGCTACGTGGACGACACGCAGTTCGTGCGCTTCGACAGCGACGCCGAGAACCCGAGGAAGGAACCCAGTGTGCCGTGGATGCAGCAGTTGGAGCCCGAATACTGGGAGCGGGAGACACAGATTTCCAAGAAAAACGCACAGTTTTACCGCGATGGACCTGAACACCCTGCGCAGCTACTACAACCAGAGCGAGGGCGGTGAGTGACCCGACCCTCCCCACGTGCGCCCAGGGCGCTCCGGGTCCCCGGGGCCGAGGTCCCCCACCCCGAGACTGCGCGCCCCGCGGAGACCCTCGGCGGGAGGAGCCCGCGGGACACGCCCTGGTTTCGCTTTTCGGTTTTGGCCGAAATCCCCGCGGGTCGGTGAGGGCGGGGCGGAGCTGCGTGGCCAGGGCTGACCGCGGGCGGGACAGGCTCTCACACCATCCAGAGGATGTACGGCTGCGAGGTCGGGGCGGATGGGCGCCTCCTCCGCGGGTACAGCCTCGACGCCTATGATGGCAAGGACTACCTCCCCATGAATGAGGACCTGCGCTCCTGGACCGCGGCCGACATGGCAGCTCAGATCACCAAGCGCAAGTGGGAGGCTGCTGGTGATGCTGAGCACTACAGGGCCTACCTGGAGGTCACGTGCGTGGGCTGGCTGCGCAGATACCTGGAGATGGGAAAGGACACTCTGCAGAGAGCAGGTGCGCGGGGCTGGGAGGGGCCGCCCTCACCCACCTCCCCCGGGGCTGGGGCAGCAAGGAGGGGAGGAAAGTGGGAGCCAGGCCAGCGTCCCCGTCTCCACCTCGGTTTGGGGTTTGTGGTTCAGAGCCAGACACCCACTGTTCCCTTAGGAAAGGAGGGACCTAGGGAAAGATGGGGGGAAGGCACAGAAAATTCTGGAAAGAACTCTCTTTGTGCCCTGGACTCCACCAAGATTTTGTGAACCATGACCCTTCCCAGGCCAGTCTTCACCCTGGAGCCAGTGAACTGGGAGGTTTCATTCCAGGCTATCTTCCACTCAGAGACCTGGGCACTCCTACCCTAGTCAGATACCTGATTCTAGAACTTTCCAAACACTAGATTACCACATTGTCGCATTGTCTTTATCCAGGCAGGGTCAGGGTTTTGACCTCCTCCACCACCCCATTTCCCCTGTCCACTCTCAGGAAGGTCACTGAGTGTAACTTTAGTGTCAGGGGAAGAACATGAAAGGCCTGAATTGTCCACATCTTCCCTCAGACCCACCCACAGCACATGTGACCCACCACCCAGTCTCTGACCAGAAGGCCACCCTGAGGTGCTGGGCCCTCGGCTTCTACCCCAAGCACATCACACTCACCTGGCGCCGAAATGGGGAGGACCTGACCCAGGACACAGAGCTGGTGGAGACCAGGCCTGCAGGGGATGGAACCTTCCAGAAGTGGGCAGCTGTGCTGGTGCCTTCTGGAGAGGAGCAGAGATACACATGCCACGTGGAGCATGAGGGGCTGCCTGAGCCCCTCACCGTGAGATGGGGTAAGGAGGACGGAAGGATGGAGTCTCCAGCAAGGGTGGGAATGAGCCCTGGGGTCAGAGCTCCTTATTGTCCCTTCCCCTCTCAGAGCCTCCTCGGCCCACTGTGCCCATGTGGGGAGTCATCGCTGGCCTGGTTCTCCTGGCAGCTGTGCTCATTGGAGCTGTGGTCACTGCTGTGATGATGAGGAGGATTCGCTCAGGTAGGGCAGGGTGAGGGCTGGGTCTGAGTCTCCTGTCCCCAGAGAGAAGGTCTCCCTACCCCGTTTCTGGGAAGGACTGTGCACACACACCTGCACCCCTAGCTGAGACCCTGGGTGCTCACACTGGCTCTAGTGTAAATCTTGAATGAAGGTGGAGGACAGACACTCCACGGGGATGACACTGCTCATGGGGACCCAAGTTCCAGCAGCCCCAGGTCAGGGGGAGGTCCCAGCTGAGGACACACCTCCAGGAGAGGCACCTCCTGACCCTGTCCTGGGTCTTGAATCATAGTTCTAGAAACTTCTCTGATATGAACCAGTCCTGTGGCCCTGCCTTCTCCCTGCCTCTCACTGGATGTTTTCTCTCACAGGTGGGGAAGCAGGGAGCTACACTAGGGCTGCAGGTAAGCACTGGGGTGTGTTTTGGGGTGGGGGAGTCCCCAAAGCCCTTGCCCTAGTCAGGTGCCCCTGGAGGTGCTGCCCACCCACCCTGTAGCTCCTCCCTCAGTCACACCCCCGGGACTCTCACCAAGTCCTGATTGGTTCTCCCAGGTGGGGACAGTGCCCAGGGCTCTGACTGCTCTCTCACAGCTTGAAAGGTGAGACCTGGAGTTTCTATAGGGGGAATTGGCTGGGGCCAAGAGATACAGAGGGACTGCGGGATTCCTTGCATTTGCACATTGTCTCTTTTTTAAAAAGATTTATTTTTATTGCAAAGCCAGATACATATGGAGAGGTACGACAGCCTGGCTCTGCCGGGAGCAATCAGTCCGAAGGGAGCAGGACCCCAGGAACGGTTGGCAAGGATTCTGCAAGTGACAGACATGACAACTCAAGGCAATTGTATCTGAAGGCATTTTGCAAAAGCAAGGCATCAACTTATATGCAATAGATTATTGCAAAGGGACATTTGCTTGGTTTATTCATGTGGTTATATTTCTACAATTATTCCAGAGAAGTAAGTGGGACTGTTGAGGAAAGATTGTTCTCTAATAGCCTGGTGACAGACTGCAGTTCCTGTTTCTTGTGGACACAATTTGGCACCAGCTGCAGTTTTAATCATTAAGTGGTTAGCTCTCATGTGCCTTGTGCCTTACATTAGTTTTAATATTAACCTGTCTATATTTCTTAGTTTTTCTTCCTGTATGGTTTTTTAAGCTATAGCTCTCTTCTATAATCTTCTTTTTAGAAATCCTCAAAAACAGTCCCGGGTAGATTTATTAAAGCTAGTGACTTGATAGTTTTTCTCTCACATTGCTTGTAATCCTTGTCCTGTCTCCTGTCAGAAGGCTTCATAGAACTATAAAGGAACGAGGAATCAAGATGGCGGAATAGGGTAAGGACACGTTTAAACGGACGGAGAAGCATTTAACCAGAATGAAGCAGAGAGGACATATTTCAGGAAATACGAAAGGACAGAACAACAGCAGAGGGGTACCTGGAGACTGACAGACACAGGAAAGCAGCGGGCACAGCAGTGTGGTGTTGCAGTGAATTATATTCCTGCACGGCGATCTAAACTCCACCAGCAGCCGGAACTCCACCAGCAACCAGGTGGGAGGGGACTTTGGGAGCTTGGGAGGTGAACCCAGACGGGGAACTCTCTGTCCTGCTGGTCCCTTTTATTTGACCAGGAGCAGAGACAGAGCAGCAGGTCCCAGGCAGGCAGTGCGAGAACAGAGTGGATTTCATAGCCCAGTCAGCCCCCTAGAGCTGAATTGTTCGCCGTTTTGCCTAAGGAGGAAAGGGCAAGGGAAAGGACTGAGCATGCTCTGAGAGGGAGTGAGCTCATTTCTGACTCGGTGAACTGCAACAACGTGGCATTCTACGGGTTCCATCCAGGGCAGGTCTGGGTAGCCCTCGGATCTGTCAGCCAGCAGATCAAGAACTGTTGTGGTAGCACGTTGGGAGCCATTTTGCGCACTGTGGCAATAGCTTTGGGACTGCAGGGACAACAGTGAACTGCACATGGCTGAGCTCGTGAGAGCTTGCTGAGTCCCGCAGGAAAATAATACCAACTGTGGCATCGTACCGGTCAAAACAGGTCCGTGTGGCACCCAGACCTAACATCCAACAAGTTCTGACAAGATTAGCGCCACCAACAACCTAAGTAGATAGGACACCTGGTGTCTCTTTAATCCTGGAACCCACTCCAACCGGAAGTGGGAGAAAGGTTGCAGAGACAACAGTGCAGCCTCAGCACGGTATCAGGAGGTGGAGAGTGGTGAGTCAAAAGCTGGGCTGTGGAGACCACGGTGAATATCTGACATAAGAACCCAGACCTGGAACTCGCTGGAGGTTGTGGCACAAGTGGCTGCAAGCAAAAAGTTTGTGTACCAACTGCAATAAGTAAAATTGCATTGTAGACCTGTGGGTGATATAGCTTAGAAACCTGCCCCAAGAAGAAGACTCTGCTAACCAGAAGTACAATGACCAAGAGCAAAAGAAGAGACAAAGGCACAATGAATATTACTGAAAACTCCCCTGCAAAGGAGCAAAACCCTATGCCAACCTCAGAGTTAACTGAGGAAGACATTGAGAAAATGGGGGACACAGAATCCATAAGACTCATTTTAAAGATTCTGGTCAAAAATGAGAAGTTAATGCAAGAGTTCAAAGAATTTAAGGAAGCAGTAAAGGAAATCAAGGCTGGTATATCAGAATTTAAGAACACAGTAGAGCAAATTACAAGTACAGTGGAGAGTCTCCAAAATAGAATGAAGCAAGCAGAAGAAAAAATCTCAGAATTGGCAGATATCTCCTGTCACCAGGGGGAAGCAAACAAAAAGCTGGAACCAGAGCTGGATCAGGCCAAAAAAAGTATTCAAGAATTGAAAGACACTATTAAGAGGCCAAATATAAGCGTTATGGGAGTCCCGGAAGGTGCAGAAAGAGAAGCTGAGTTTGCAAATGTATTTAAGGAAATAATCAAGGAAAATTTCCCTAATCTGGAGAAAGAATTGGGAAACAAGATCCAGGAGGGACACAGAACTCCCAACAGGCTTGATCAAAAGCGATCTTCACCGAGACATATGATTATCAAGCTCTCTTCAATTGAACATAAGGAAAAGATCCTTAAATGTGCACGTGAAAAACATCAATTGACATATAAAGGAAAGCCAATTAAGCTCACAGGAGATCTCTCACATGAAACTCTACAAGCAAGAAGAGAATGGAGTGACATATTCCAGATACTAAAAGAAAAAAAATTGTCGGCCTAGGATAACATACCCTGCAAAGCTTTCTTTCATCTTTGAAAATGAAATAAAATTCTTCCATAGTAAAGAAAAGCTAAAAGAATTTGCCTCTTCCAAACCTGCTCTACAAATTATACTTCAAGATGTTCTCTTGACAGAGAAGAGGAATAGCACCTACCAAAACCAGAGGCAAACGGGAAGAACATCCCAGTAAAATGACAACAGAAGACTAAATCAATGAACAACCCATTCCTAAAATGACAGGACCAAAGTACCACCTATGTATATTTAACTCTGAATGTAAATTGCTTAAGCTCAATCAAACATCATAGATTAGTAGACTGGATTAAAAACAAAACCCATCTGTTTATTGTCAGGAGGAGACACACTCCAACAAAGATCAGCAAAAACTGTATCACATGGGTTTTGTTGTTTTCTGTTGGTTTCATCTCTTCAAAACATTTTCTTCTGATTAAATCATTCAATGACTCGTAGATCATACAGTGGCATCATTTTCTTCAAGAAGGTTCTTGATTTTCACTTCTTCAGCTACATGTTATACATTTAATAGCATGTTGTTTAACTTCTTGGTGTTGTTAATTTCTTTTTTCTCCTGGAAGTTGATTTTGTTTTGTGGCTCTTCATTTAAGGGAAGGTATAGTAGTTGTGTAATGGAGACTGTCATATCTAGTAACATGTCATTTAACTTCATGGCATTGTAAATTTCTATTTTTCTTTCTATTGTTGATTTTGTATCATGACTTTTCATTTAAGGGAATGTACAGTAGTTATGTAATAGAGACTGTCAACCAGATGTGAGGATGCAGTGTGGTCGGCATCTCTGTTTCCAGACAAAGATGGACTTACAGTGAAACTGTTTATATTATATTTTGACAATAGGATTCTGGACTCTCTGCCATTGTCCATGCCTGCAATGATGAACATATGACTGAGTATGAAGAACTATATGTTAATAATGATACAAAAGAACTGGGGGCGGGGAGGGATTTGGGGAGGGGATAGGAGAATATGGAACTGTATCGTAAAATGATAGCAATAATAATAAAATGTGAAAAATAAAAAAAAATTTAAAAAAAACCCACCAAAATCTAAAAAGAAAAAAAAAAGAACTATAAAGGAACATTGAGCCTTTGCTGCACATAAATAATATTATTCCAGCCATAAAGATAAGAGCAAAAAGAGTACAGCCAGGAATGCCAAGACCACTAGAGATGCAGCCGAATCCAGGAGGCATCCTTCCCTGAAGCTTCTGCCTCGGCCTGGTGATTTCTCACACAGGCTCCACTGGAGGTAGCATGACCGAGAGGAAGATCTTCCGTCCGATAAATCATGCCCCAAGTGACCACAATAGCCAGAGCTGTGCCGATCCAAAACCAGGAGTCTTCTGGGTCTCCCATGTGGGTACAGGGTTACAAGGCTTTGGGCTGTCCTTGACTGCTTTACTGCTTTCCCAGGCCACAAGCAAGGAGCTGGATGGGAAGCGGGACCACCGGAGTTAGAACCAGCGCCCATATAGGATCCCAGCATGTTCAAGAAGAGGACTTCAGTGGCAAGGCCATGGAGCCTGCCCGCATTTGCACATTTTCAGGTGTGCCGGGCTGTTTCTGACCCCATGTACATTGACCTCAATTTCTTACCTTGTTTCTATAGTGTGAGACAATTGCCTTGTTTGGGACAGAGGGAAAGAACCTTGCTCAAGTCCTCATCCTTCTGTCTTCAAAAGCCCCACCCTCCCTTCCTGCAGTCATCTATGTTGCTGTGGGCACAGTGTGATGTGGGAGCCTGGTCCTCCCAGCCCAGCATGGACACCTCCGACTCTGTCTCAAGGCAGGTGCAAATCTGAACAGCAAATCATTTTTTCCAATTCCAATATGAGTGGCTCATGAGAAAATTATAAGAAAATTCCAAAAATTTCAGAGAAAATAAACAGAAGCACCAAGAACCTTCCAGAAGCCATGTGTCTGCTGTGTTGACTACAGGTGTGACAGGAGAGGCAGGGGAGACCTGCATAAGGGCAGGGCTGTGCCCAGGTGGTCCCAAGCCCATCAGTCTATGTCGTGGT